GAGGGTTGCGATCCGTTGCCGGTCATGAAAAAAGACAAAAAGAAAAAAAAAAAAAAACTTTACATGATATAAAAGCACAGTTGACTGTATATGTCTGCTGCTATATACTTGCATATGAGACAATACCTAATAGAAGTTACTAAATAAAACCAAGCCATTCCCTCTTGGTTATAAGGAAAAGAGAATTGGGTATAATAAATGATAATGGCCATAATCAGCCTCTTTCCATTATTTAATATGATTATCACAATTGCAGAAGTGTACATTTCATTCAGTCAATAACTGTAAATCTGGTTTCCATATGCCTAAACCCTTCTAAATTCACAATAGTCAATCTTCTTAAATATTTTCAGTCAAATATTTTCAGGGCTTCTACCTGGTACCTAAAAAGTTCAAAATCTAATAATATGCCACCTATCATGCTGAACACTCCGATTTGCTTGCATTGCTTATCTGGGGACACACTGTTGGACGGTACAGGACTCAAGCTCCAACTCCTTTCACTTCAGCACAATCGGCCTTTGAAATGCATAAGACACATGTGAATTTTGACTCTCTGAAAGGTGGTACCTTGATTATTCCCTTGTGTTGACTCTGAAATGCTGACGCCAAGCTGGCTGCCATAGGAATTGATTCCCATCATGCCACTGTGAGCCGGGGAGCTGGAGAGAGCTGGGATCTGGCTGGGATTCCTGGGGACACTGTACAGGGCTTCGGCAATGTCTGCAGCTCGCTTCAAGATGATGTCCTACAAAACAGCAGGTTAAAGTAAGCATTTTATCCAGTGTGAAGAGTCAAACTCAACAGAACATAAGCTAGGAGCTTCTCACCTGGTTATTGTGTGGGGTGCCATAAAGGGCTTCTACTAGATCTGCTGCTCTTTTCAACAGCATTTCCTGGAAAAGAAAAGAGAGGGTGGGGTATAATCAAGGGTAAAACCCCAAATGGCAAACAAAATAAAATTGCAGGTAAAAATGAAAAGTCCACACATCCCCCCAAAATGTAAATAATTAGCCAAGAAGTCCTATATTTGGATTGGCAGGTAAAATACACTCATATATATAAATCCTTCTATACATGTGTATCTACATGAAATTCACCTCTATAAAATGGCTATATAAATGATTGTGCTCCCAGAACAACAATGAAAAAACAATCAACCAAATTGAGGGTGGAGTTGGTTAAAATTAATAATGTCATGGAAGTTCTATTAAAAAACTATTTTCAGACCATTCTATTAAAAAATCTGGTACTCTAATTAACTAAATACTCTTAAAATGATTGATGGACCTGAGTTCAGCTGCTTGCCAAGGAGTTGTCCAGAGTACTGAAATTATCTTGGCAATGGCTTCTGCAAAGTTTTATTCTAATAAAGATGAATTCTTTCAATAATGTTTCCCCCTGTTCACTTTACCAGAGAGAATTAGTAATCACTAATCCCTTTCCTCTCATTTTGTCTTTTCCACCTCCTGTTCTTTACGGCCTTTTAAGTTGCTATTAACCTACTTTCCAGATATCATCTAATTTAATGGTGGGGCTGGGGATTTTTCCAGGAGGAAAATAAAGTTGGGATCTAGAAGCAAATGTGGTACCTGAATTGTACTCACAGTGAAAAAAAGAGAATACAGAATTTTATAATTTGTGTGTTTAAAGTGCAAATATAAATGTAAAACTTTAATAGTTTCTCATTAGTTGAATGACAAATAATAAATTGATGTATTTTTTAAATAACAAAGCTAAATAACATCATGGGGCAGATTCATAATGTAATTTTCATAAGCAAGTTCATTTAAAAGCGACACACTTCATAGAAAGTTTATGTGGAGGTATTTTGCTCTTCATTAAACATCTATGCATGCAGTAGGCCCTCAATGAATAATTAATTGATGGTGGGTTAATGGGCCCCTGAAATTATAGGTAAATAAAATCAGATTTAAACAGAAAGGAATGGAAACATATACTTTTAATCAATTATGCAAATACTCATTTTCAGAAAGTTGGCAATGCCTTATAAGCTGAATATTCTTGGAGTATATCTGTTTCATAGGCCCAAATTTTCAGATTTTACATTTCCTCAGAGATTAATCATAATATATTTCATAGTCAGTAGATATTTTATGTGCATCTTGTATGTACAGCTGAGCCAAATTTCAAAGACTAACTGATTTTAATGAGACTTACATGGTTGGATTTGTCTAAGTTTGCTGAAATTCTACAGAAAGGCTTTCACATGTCAATTTCCAAAGTATTTTACCTTAGCCAATCTCTCAGGATCACCAGGATGCCGCGGGATGACTTTCTGCAGTCTCTGGAAGCCATAGTCTATGGTGGGTTCATTTAATGCTGAAAGATAAAAATCTTCTCTTTGAGTATGTACCCTGGCCATAAAGCAGACTTTCTAATTAAGTCTTCCCAGGTCATAGGAAGGTTCTGATATTATCTGTCTAGGAACAAATACATGATGGATACTATCAGCTAAGGGTTTTTGCTATTGACACTGGTTAATTCACACATAAATTTAGAGTTTATAGTAATTTTATGTTTTTCTATCAGGATAACATTTCAGAAATTCACGATTATTAAATTATCTTATTTCTGCCTAAGTGCACACACACATAATTCTCTGCTCATTCTCAGATAATCAAAAAACGTTACACAATCAACCACATCCTAAGTTCTTATAAAGATAATAAACTAGCTTTATCTCATTTTCCCTTCTCTCCTTTCTCCCTCTTCTTTCCCAAGTATGCCTTTATTATCCATTAATTCTTCTAAATATCACTTTTTCTTAATTTTTAAAAAAATATTTAAATCCATACGCATGAACCTTCTATGAGCTTATTCTCATAAAACCCTGTTCTTACGCATAATACAATTTCACAATTTGCAATTATATGCAGTTGCAGGTACTTTTTTTTTTTTAATGTCAGGCTTACTGTACTTGCAAGGTGCATAGAAGCAGAATTGATCTTGTTTCACTGCTGTGTTCTCACTGTTTACTACAGGGCCTGGCACATAGTAGGCACTTAGTGTCAGTAATTATAAAATGAGCAAATGAGCTTTCAGAGTTGGTTTCTTTATTCTTTCTCCTTCTTCCTCCCTTTCTGTATTTTTAAAAATCTTGCTTAGATTCTGTGGTTTTAAAATGAATTCATGATCAAAGTAAAGAAAAATATACAAAGAATAAAATAATAATCACTTGCACTCCTGTTATACAGCAATAAACACAGGAGAGTGTATTTCCTTTTTAATTTCCGCTTTTGCATACACAATATATTTTATGAATATCTGTTGCTATTATTTTGTCAAAATGATGCCTTTTCTTTAAAAACTTATTTAGGGCCGGCCGGGTGGCGCACTGCTATAGTGCGCCGCTTGGGAGTGCGGTGGCGCTCCCGCCGAGGGTTTGGATCCCACATACAGACCGGTTCCCGCTCACTGGCTGAGCGAGGCGCGGGGGCAACACCAAGGGTTGTGATCCCGTTGCCGGTCCCGGTCAGGTACGGTTAAGAAATGACCTGGATTAACATTTTTGCTCTTATCCTTCTAGATTTAAACACTCACACAGGTAGACAGAATTATTCAGAGGCATACTATTCACACTGTTATATAACCTACTTTTTATCCACTTAACAATATATCATAAACTTTCCCCCAGGTTATTAAATATTCTTTTACCACATTATTTAAAATTCCTGCATATTTTTTCCATGACATGTTCTATAATTTATTTAAACGGCTTCCTAATGTTGTGCATTTAATGTGATTCTAATTTCTCACTATTATAAAAATCAGAGCAATAATTATCCTTCGCTCATAACTTTAATTATATCAGTCAGAAAATTCCAAGAATTAGAATTACTGGACCAAAAATTACGATTTATATTTAAGGCCTTACAGACATACTGTGAAATCACTCCTCAGAAGAATGTATAAATTTATACTCCCTCCAGCAATGTATATGATGATTTTAACTTACATTTCTCTACTCACCAGTGAGGTTGAATTTTTTTTCTTATATGAGAAGAAATTATACATGTTTGCTGACCATTTTAATGTCTCCTTTTATGAATGGCTCATTAACACTTTCTGTATCCTTTTCTACTTGGGATTAGTCTTTTCTTTTTTTACTGTAAAAATACTTTATATATTCACATTTTTAACCCTCGTCACGTTACAATATTTAATCCCAATTTGTCCTCTACTATTACATAATGGACCCTCAAAAAGTTTGTGGAATAATAGAATTAAAAGATAATACAAATCTTTCCATGAACTTTTTGAAGTACCTCTCATGTATAGAAAATCTATCCCAACTCCAAGATCTGGCAAGTACGCACACACAGACACAGACATACACGTAAACACACACACAAACATATGTAGGCATTCTTATACTGATATAAATTCTTAAATTATTTAACTGGTCTGGATTTTATTTTACTGTACAACATTAAGTACTTCCATTTGCCACAACTTTATATCACCATTTATTTAATGATTTCGAGATACTCTATTCCATTGCATTCATCTATGCTTCTGTTCTGAGTGAGAATCACACTGTTAGAGTTGTAACACATGTTTAATATTTGTAGTATAGTTGCCCTTCCACAAATACACAATCTTTTTAAACTACATTTTCTCAACTATTCGTGTCCATTTATTCTTCCAGATGAACGCTAGGAAAATTTCAAAAATAGTTCAGTTGCATCAAACCCATAACTAGAGAGAAAATGGATGGCTTTATACAATATTAATACCCTCACATTCTTAAAAGAATTTTTATTGAATCAAAATTGATTATACATATTTTGAGAGTTCAACATTGAGATATGTTGATCAAATCAATATTATTAGCATATATATTGTTACAAATCATAATTATTCTTTATACCCCTTGTCCAATCTGTCCCCACCCCCCTCTCTTCCCCCTCCCCCTCTAATTACCCTAGCCCCACCTTCTTTTTTTAGGTCCCCCAAGTAAAGTATGCATCGCTCATAACATAGGTGCTAAGTTTTTTCTCATTTTTTTTTTTGCTACAATGATTCCCATGTCAAGTCACGTGCTGATCTTCACAAATCTTTATCTCTAGTTCAGAGAGTTTGCTGGAAAGTCAGGCTTATATGAGTATATCCAAATGTTGGCTGGAAATTTCCACTTGGATGTTGCATAGATTCCTCCCACCCAAAATACCCACGCTCATGATATTCTCAGTGAATAGGACCATTATCCATTTACCAATCAGAAGTCTCAGATTCATTATTTCTCAATAGCATTTGTATTTTTCTGGAAAAAAATCATCCATTTCATCAATATTTTAAATGTTTTAGCATAGATTCTCTATACAGTATTTGTTTAAAATTTCTAATCTCCTATCTATGGTTCTATCCTGCCCCCTCTTTTTGCTGTAATTTTCTGAATAGTCATATTTCTAATTTTGGCTTCGTTTTGTTCCGAGAAGACTATCCTAAAGTTTCAACAAGGTTGAGTAGTAAATTATTTATTCTAGTTAACTGCACTAGATTTATAAAAAAGGTAGTATGTAAAATATTTGATTGATTTTGGGAATTGACTGAATTTTTTGTGAATTAATACATATTAGTCTTCTCTGTGTTCCATGGGTAATGCTTTAATGTTTTATTTAATGTGTCTTTTTGATCACATTATTTAATACATTTTATCATTTTTCACTACTATAAATTAGTGTTTCCACACTCTCCTTGTATTTCTAATAGTTTTAAAATATGTATCTTTCTCTAGTGACTTGGAAGATACACATCCTATTTTAATTTAAAGAAGTGCCCTTAGATTTCTCTAAACATACTTTATTTTTTCGGATTATTTGAATCCATTGATCCCCTCCATGTGTAAGGAATCCTGCCTGCCTTTAATTCTGCCCCCACCCCATTTTCCTCACTTTTACATTTTTGTTGACAGTTTATCACTCTTGAGCTGATGTTACTATTATTAGATTTTTCCACGGTATGTGTCCTTTAGAAACTCATTTTCATATTTACATTAGGCTTTAGCACATACATATGAACGATTTAGACACTCGTTCAGTGTTTCTCTGCAGACCACTGATCCTGGGACCCCATCACCTTTCTCTTTTTGCATTTTTCACTGATTCAGTTCTCCAGCGGTCAGATGACATCAGTGACAGTAACAGTTATATTCTGTCTGGGCCCTTGAAATAAGAGAATATCTTCCTGTCTTTCTGAAACATAAAAGACAACTCCTCTGGACACAGAATTGCAGAGCACACTCTTTTCCACCCCAGACCAAGTTCCTGCTTACGTCACTTGTTCTCACTCCTCAAGGTGGGGACAGGGGAGGCCTCGGCCTTTCTCCAGGGTCCCCCATCACTTTCCAGCCCTGCTGCTCTTCCCAGGAACAGAATGAGAGTCCAGGTTCCACGTGTCCCCCACTCCACCACTGTGTGCACATGCCTGCACAACAGCATGACATTTCTGGCATACTGATGACACCAGCCTAGCTTCAAGCATTAATGCCAGATTTCCCTTCTTTTTATATTTGCCTGAAAATATCCTCCGCTATATTCTAGGGGTAGGGCAGATTAAACACTCGCACTCACATGACCATCCTACACAGAAACACGTGTAAGAATAGCTGTATGTATAATTGAAATCGTCCTGTAAACTATTTTTCCACTTAAAATTATAATGTCAGCAATTTTGGAAACCTTTTTCTTTAATAACGGGATTTTTAGTGGCTGTAATGTGCAATAATGAAAATCGTTATTACCACTGTTAGAATTTACTGAAGGCTTACAATGCTATGTGCACTCTGCTAAGCCTTTTACATACATTAGCTCATTTAATTCTGATAACAGCCTTGTGGCGTGAGTTTTATCCCCATTTAAACTGCAGTTCCAGGTGGTAATGGCGGGATTTGTGCCCTGGCTTCTCTAACTCCAAAGCTTGTGCTCTGAACCTCTCCTGCTGCAGAACTAGAGACAGGTTCCTTCATCTCTCTCTTGCTT